TTGAAATTATGTATATTTTTACGGGCATATAAAATATTTGAGTAAAATGAATTAAATGTTATATTGTCTATGGTCATGTTAAAAGTAACATTTTATTGGGCATTTTAAAAATAGGCGGGAATGTTTTAAGTTTATGTAATAATTTTTTATCGTGCTAAACCACACACATCTTTACAAAGCCGTCAAAAACGATAGCAAGTAGGATACGATGTGTTAGCTCATCCACCGTGTTCGCCTGACACCCTTTTAGATTTCACTTTGTTCGGTTTTTACAAAATTATTTGATGGACACATCTTTGATAACGAAGAGACCACAAAGCGACATTTGAGCTGTATTTTATAGGTATTGACAAGAATGTTTATGGAAAGCGAGCTCTAATATTACCCGAAAGATGGCAAAGATTAAACTTTGATAGTTCTTTTGAAAATGTTTTTCATTTATGCTTCTAAACCGCACGGACTTGTTGGCCAATCCAATATTATTTATATCTATATTATGTTTTTTCATTTGACGCTGATCATTTCTTCGTGGGTAATTTTCATATTAGGTTTCTCTATCTTTTTTCTGTAGCAATTTTTAATATTTAACTTAATTAACCCTTGAGCTCTGTTGACAGCAGTCATTCTTTACCCGAAAATGTGAGTACGCGAGACAACGTAATGGCGGCGCTAGAGAATATTTGCAAATGCTCACAAAAATTACATTTATTCAAAAACTATCAAACGATTTCACTTGAAATAAAAAACTATTCCGTGATTATCTTATCTTGTGCTTTATTTAATGAGAAATTACGCACTAGGGAAAATGGTAGGTATTGATGTAAATAAATCATTTTCAAACAATATTTCAGGATACTGCACTCGAAGGATAAGTATAGGATAATTCATGATAATATTGTAGAATATTTAAATAATAAAAATTGCCACCGACATTAGGTCGAGAAAACTAACCTGTAAATTACCCTAAATAGAAAAAGTTCACCTAGGCGTTTATAAAACGTCGTTTATGAAATCGTCTCTAAAAATCAGATGAGGTTGTGGCCAAAAGCGTGTCTATTTTATATTCAAAATAAACGAAAATTAGTGGCGAATTGTACTCCCAAGTGTATTTGAATTTATTTTAGAAAACTCTTCACGACGTTTATTATTTATGCTTTATTTTATATACTTAATGTATTTTAAAATGTGTTTTATATTATAGATTTTATTTGCTATTAATATATTTTCTGGAATTACTATTGACTTTTTTCTCAATCTTTACATTGAACCTGTGGTTTTGCGGCATTGAACACGGAGCGCGTGAGAGTTAGGGCCCTATTTCAGAACTCAACCCAAGTATTGGTATCGCTGTGAACATCAATCTGCGAAGCGATGCTTGAGCGTGTTTCTTTAATGTTCTCACTATTTGTCATTTTTATTAAAAAATTAAAAAGACGAACCGTGAATCAGTATGGAATGTGTAATTGTGGTGATCATTATCAAAGAAAATAAATATTTTGATAATATCGAAACCTACCTAACTACGATAGTGTGTATAAAAATAGTTTTCTAATAGGAAGTAATGATATAACTCATTAGCTTTGATTCTGTTTAAATTTTATTTTTAATAATTTTGAATTTCAGTGGAGACGATAGGATTCCTCTCTATATTATTATTTTAAATTTGTCTTTAAGTATTCCGATCTCTGATACAAACAGTTGAATTTTTATATTAGTTTTATTGAAATCGGTTACCGGAAAGTGCGCGAAACCGGATTCATCCCCAAGTTTACACCTTAGAGGTAGAATATTTTCTTTAAATGTAAATGGGACTAATACGGAGACTAAATATTCAAACTCGGTTCACAAATGCGGGGGTGATCGCCTATCATACACACATCAAATCATGTCGAATAGAGAATAGAGAAAACCTGCTCCATTTTTGAAGCTGGTTAATAATGTTTATTATTATCATTATGTACTCGTATATTAATAAGACCAGAGTCAAAGTCTAATCTTTATATATATATAGGTAATCAAATTACACTTGACATTGTCATATTGAATAAACTGGTGAAATTACATGCACATGGGACTTCTATTCTATTCTATTTTAAAAAAGAAGGATGGCTTCTCTTTTAGAATTTTGCCAATGTCTAGTCAGTCATGGGAGCTACACTTTTATTTATTTTCCAATGTTTAAACATTTAACACTGCTCTTTAGTCTATTCCAATTCTGAAACAATACAATACGACACAATATAGGTACCATCACCATTAATGATATAAATAAAATAAAAATAAATAGTGTTATAATTTAAGTTTGTTAATACTAATAAAATCAGTAATTAATTTCAGTAGGGGATTTGAAAAGACATATAGCAGAAACTGGAAATTTACGGGACGCGGAATGGACGGTGGAAGACTATCGTAGATGGAACAAGTTCTGGAAGGGCAGCTGAAAAATATATGGTCTGGGGTACCTTCATCAGGCCACATTCACAAATTGAGTTATCCCGTATTCTAAGTTTTGCCAGATGGACCAGGGTGCAGGCATGACCAAGGCGAAGTCGGCATATCGTAGAAGTTACAGATTTACTGAATCCTTAAAGGTTAAAAAAACCAAGGTTTTTTGGGGATACTTATTTGGATGTCAGCATAGTACTTGCCCTTGATAAGCTTGATTTTGTTCCACTCATTGCTCCATGAGGAAAACATATCATTGGTAGCTAAAGGCAGGAGGTCATAGGTAAATGTCCTATAATGATTAAGGTAACCTGTTTGGATAGCGTTTTTCGCCAATATGTCTACGGTTTCATTCCCTTGGATCCCGCTATGACACATGGGACTTGTCAACTTACGTCTCTGGGTGACGGGCGCAGTGGCGGTGCCCTCCGATCGACGCGATTTCAAGCTCTGAGTGGCGATGCGGCTGCGATGGACGCGCGTGTCGCGTAACCAGACCTTAGAGGATGGACAAAACACCAGGTGCACGACTTATGCGTCCAGTCACTTACTGTCATAAAAAAAAGAAAAAAAGACATATTTTGAGCAAAATATCCCATCGGCGAACTGAGACTTATCTAATCATCAAACAGTTCGTAATTTCAGCTAAAAGATGTCCACTGCACTGAATATAGGCCTCCCCTAAATAATGCCACAACGACCTGTCCTGCGCCGCTTGCATACAGCGGACACCCGCCGCCTTCACCGGACCATCAGTCCACCTTGTGGGTGGTCTGCCCGTACCGCGTCTTCCGGTACGCGGTCGCCACTCGAGAACTCTTTGGCCCCATCGGCCATCTGTTCTGCGTCAAACGGTTACATCCTCAGAAATCTAAATAAAATTTCTTTGGTTACATCTAATATTAACGCAAACCAGTAACGTTATCCATAACGGGTTGATGATTACCATAAATATACGAGATCAGAAAAATAAGTTTCTTTTCTAAAGTGAAATCCCAAAAGTTTTATTGAAGTTATTTTAATTGAAGTTTATGGCTGTTTGTTTCTCTGGATCATTGCTTTTTCAACGATGACAAATACAACTATGTTTGAACATCTTGCTTTTCTTACATTTGACAGAAAAGAAAATGATTATTTGTTTTTATTATCGGTATTGATATATTATTATTTTATTTATTTTATTATTTAATTTCTACCATATTTCACAGTAAGCAAGATGAAGGCCATTGACTCAAAAGTTTTGTCAATTAACACGATGACTGCTCGTGCAATGCACGTTATACTCCGAGTGGTCGTGCTGGCCTCGCCGTGCGCGACTCTCGAAGTTTACTTCGCCCCATTTGAAGAGCGTGCTAGCAATTTCTACGAAGACTACAGTTCTGGTAACCTTTTTAAAAATCTGACTGGATGTCAGACGGTAGGTAGTACAATTTTTCATCCTTCAGGCTAAGGCGTTCATACTGCCAGATCTTAGATTGTAATTTTTCGGTTGCCATTTTGAAACTTCTCAAGGCGGCTTCGCTCGGCCCGTCTTTCCACGGGCGCGGCCCGCAAGCGTAAGCTTGCGCCAACGCGCCGGCGCTGCGGGCAGAGGGCCACCCGAGCGCGCCCGTGGTCGCCCGTGGTGGCCTGTTTGGATCCGCCGTGTGTCGGTAACTTCGGAGGCGCGGCGCGAGGGCTTATAATATGAATACCTTGTATTATTTGAGTATTTATGTGGTCTGTAGTTGTAACCATTGCACAATATAAAAGTGGCTGCAGAAATAGCTATGCGTTCTTCGTATGACATTTTCGAACTCTGTAGCTCGAATCAGACTTATGCCGCAGGTGCGGGTGCACGAGTCTTTCGCTTGCTTGCGTGACTCGTTTCGCGCATACGCAAAGATTTGTCTTGTGCGCGCAGGTAGAACTGTTCTCGAGTCGCTCGCTTGTGCCGGCCGCTTGCCTTGCGTTGCGTGTGTTTGATATCTAGCATGTTTGATATTTCCACGTAAGCAACAGGGAACGTTTGCGGAGGACAGCGCCAACAGCGCCACAGAGCAGCATCGTCCACGCGTCCAATAAAACCAAAACAAAGACAAGGCACTGCGTATGCGCGCGCGTTGCCGAGAGAACGCAAAGCGGAAGACTCGTGACTTTTCTATAGCCGAATGCCGGTTAATCCATTTGTATGATCGGCAGATTCCAATACGTCAACCCAGGGCTGGCGCGGCAACTCACTGGCCTCAACGGTCCAAAGCAATGCCTCTGGTCCGCCTGACGACATAGACGGAGTCAAGAGTACGCCCAATTTATTTCTTCACCTCTATCGATAATTCAGCAGATAATTTTGAACCCATTAGGACCTTTTTATTAGGCTCCTAATTCCGTCCTCTAATTTCTATCAACGTGATTCAAGTAAATTAACGCGTCTTTTGTTATTATTAGAAATGCGTTAATAACTTTATTATTATAAAAAATAGAAAAATAAAAATAAAAATGAGAATGAGAATATTTTATTTCAGATAATTACAATCCATGTTTCATAATTCAAATTATATTATTATCATATTACTTATATTTAAAATTTAGAAATTTTATTAAAACTGAATTAAAAAATTTCAAATTGAATTGACTAAAATCTACAGATGGTTAGTAACAAAAGTATTTATGATCTAAGTGTTGGTGACTATTTCTCAAAATAATCGTACTTAACGAAAAGCATGTTAGGAAACACTACAAAAAATGTTAACATTAAGCTTATTACACATTGGCAAAAAATCAATTAATATGGCAAAAAGCATAAAAAATAATAAATATATATTTTTTTCTTAAAACTAATATTATTTTTGAAATACAGTTTGGTTTCTTACTTAAATCACAAAATTATGTTCTAATCATATTTAACTCAATTGGTACTTGAAAATCTGAAATCTTCATCGTTCATCAGCATGTATTCCATACGAAGGTCAGATATCTGAAGTAATTCAGTTTGTTTTTGGAGTCATTTCTAAAAAAGGAAATATTGTTTGGGTCAATTGGTCGATTATGTGACTTTGCGAGGGGATTTTTTTAAATGTTAACTATTTATTAGACAAATGCTATTTCGTTATATACTTACGTGATTCTAGTGGTGCCCATGCAAAAATTTTACGGATGAGTTCGGAAATTAAGTGAAAGTGGAAATTAAGCGTAACGAAAGAAAAGTAAATTGGTATGACTCATTTTATTTTTGGCATATTACTTAAATTTTTACTACGAAACCACACATCAAATCACTTTTATACAGAAACTACATTCAATCAAGGTCTGTAATACAAAAACATGCACCTTATTATTGTGACGTTTCGTATTTTATGAAGCGACAAACACTTCAGGTGGGCGGCAATTTTATTTTTGTATGAAGAGAAGAGTAAAAAACATTGTCACGAAAACCTTAAAATAATTAATGAAATAATAAGATTACACTGTTCGTTCTTCGTAGTATTAAATACTACGCAGAACGAGCAGCAGAACTAACGTGTTTTTCTTTAAAATGTTCCTATTTGTTTTTGTATGACTGAATAACAACATAGTATTTTTGTGTGCACACATTTTTTGTAAATGTACAAAATATTTTGAGAAATAGTGTATTAGTGACATGCAAGTGATAAACGCGGTTTATATACGGACAGTCGAACCTGTCCGCTTAGGATGGATTTGGAGCTGGCCCTTACCCTGCGCACCTGCGCCAATGATCGTGTGGAAGCAGTCGACTTGCGCCGCTGCGAACGTGCCCGAGATACATTTGTTACTTTAGAATAACCTTCTTATCCAAGTGAAAGAAGTCATAAAACAACGAATTACTTTACAGGTCCTATCTGAAAAAATAGTTTCATGTCCAAATTCCGCAACAAATTTCGTTAGTTTGTTGATAGGTTCCGAATAAAAACAAGTAACACTATTATTTTCAACGTACATATAAGAATGTTTGTTTCAGAGGTGCTCAAACGAGTACTATCAGTAAGCGTAACCGATGGACTCCCAAGACCGACTGGTAGGATTCAAGAAACACAAATAAGAGGACATAAACGTCAAGCGGACCCAGATGGATATAGTGCGGACATAGGAAATATAACAGAATTCTCTATACACAAAACTCTAACTAGGGAAATTAATAGAATCGCGGAACAGATTACCACAATAGAACAAGAAATTTTAACGTCAAAACATGTAAATGACGGACAATTTCTCAATGATTACGATGAAGAATACACAGAAAAGGAATATAAAAGTGATATCCACAGACGTGCCCCTGCACAGTACCACTTTTGGGAGAAAAATGGAAAAAGTGATTTACAAGTATCCGTGAACCGCAAAGTTAAACCTTTTCTTGGTGCAAGTGTTTCTGGACAAGTAGCAAACGATGAAAAAGAAAAGTGGAAAGAGGACGATGCGACGACTGACAAAGACATAACAAAAAAAGTCGTATTAGAATCTTTGAGAGATAAGCCTGAAAATATTGAAGAGTCCTCAAAAGAGAACAATGACGCATTGGATAAAATATTGCACGAAAGAACTTTTATGCATAACCTTTTTAACGATTATGAAGAAGTGCAATACTGGAACAAATTATTTGTTACGCCGCAGCCGTCTCTTTCTCCAACTACAATTGATCTGTTTGAAGATTCAAACCAATTTGATAACCAACATACACTACTTCCTCAATTTGTCTTAAGAACCACACAAACGAAAAACAAATCAAAATCACCTACCAGTAGGATTACACAATCACCATTACGTACACAACTTAAGCGAACAAATATATTTTTAGCCGACGTACTACAGCGGACTACAGCGGACATATTTTCGAATAAAATACTAAGCAACGTATTTATATCTTCAACCCAGCCCGAAACCATGACGACATTAGCAACCCCTCTCGAAATAATGTATAGTAAAACTGTAACACCAGAGACTACTGTACGACGTCTACCACAGAGTCGACATTTTCTGCCTACAACTGCAAGAATTGACTATGAAAAAGTAACAAAAATGTATCCAACAAGAACGGAAGAGGCAACGAAAGCAAATGATTTTAAATCACCAATGCAATACCAGGTTAAACCTGTGCATTTAGGAATCTTTGAAGCAACAAAACAATTTTCTAATGTTCCTATAACAATGACAAATACTGATACGTGTACTCCAACAAATGAGGGCCAACTATTTGAATATTTAGATGCATTCACTTTCACAGATAGCATACGGCCACACTTGCCAAGAATGAGAAATTATACGAACAGTAAACATAATACGGGCGTAATGCAACCCAACGATGCGATACCGAATTCTTTTGACTTATGTAAGAATAGTTCAGCTTATATTAACAATACTATAAACGAGATGCAGAGTCTATGGTCACAGTATACTATAATTACAGTATGGTTTGACACGGTTGTCAGTCATCGAGTAAATAACCAGAAATAGAGACGAAATAAGGGTCCTCCACCCCTGGCAACTCATCAGGCAAATGGGCCTTATCACTTTTAAATATTAACTCTGGTTTGCGCTGAAATCACAAATTAGAAAGCTGAAATAGTACAGCGCCAACAACTGACCTGCGTGTACGTCTCCGTATATTCCAAAAATATTCTGTATTTGTTGTAATAAAGATAATATCCTAAGTATGGGGGGAAAAACAGCAAAACATCTAATTACAAAACAAATGGAATCACATTTCATCGGTAATAAATTATAAATATGTAATTTTTCAATTTTCGTCCATTATAGCAAAGATCAAGTTAAACTGGTCGATTTGAAATGAAACAGTTGACGACACCCGTCAATTGTTTTGAATTCGTGCTGGCCAATCGGAGCGCAGTTGTCACAGTAATGATTTGGCAGAATAGTTTTCAAACAAATTAAATTACATTTCGTCTTTATTTCTGGTTATATACTCGATGTTGTCAATAAAAAACTCACTTGAACTGTAACGTTTACGAGTGTAGCCTTCAATAACACTATTCATACGCTAGCTTATGTCCTTAAAATTCAAAATTGTCAAAATAGTAGTACATTGTTTGAACCATTTTCTGTATTTATGTCCAATAAAAAGTAGGCAAGTAATTAGTTCCTTAACTTCTCAAATTGCTCTCAATCGAAATAAGTAAGATATTTTCAAACAACATAACTCACATTGGAGCAGCGCGTAGGAAAAAGACTTAAGGAGAAGATTTTTGAGCAATTTCTTGTTGATCAGCTAACAAAAATGGCAGAATTCTTAAATTGGATTTACAGAGTAGATGGGTCATCTGAAACGATGCGTCTCTTTGTAAACTGAATTAATTATATAGAGTGATGAGTCCTTAAAAGTTTGCGCATGTGGCTAGGCAACACTAAAGTGCGGAAGAATTTCTAGAGCAAAAGTGTAGTCAACAATAAGTCTGAGTCCTGGACAATGGATATGAGAACTTGCTACAAAGTCGTTCAGCAAGCAAAAAGTCCATTTGAGGTGCCGCCTTTCCGACGAATGTGTGTTTACACGTGTAGTTTTCAAAGTTGATGATAATTTCAAAGATTACTTTATTGTAATTATTAACAAAGTGTCAATCATCAGCCTTATTGTAATGTTGCAGCTTTCCTTAGGGGTATGGATGATGTAGACCAACCAGATAATATGGATTTTAACAATTTCGTACCGTCTATGATAAAAATGGTTCAAAAAATAGTCGATAACAACAAAAAGGAGGTAAGAATGTAATATTATAGTTAGTGAATGTTCAAAAAAAACCCGAACAAATCGCATCTCAATGAATTCAAAGTATTTTTTTAATAATATTAAATGACGGGACGAACAAGTCGTGCGTTTGATGGTAAGCGACGCGCCTGTCCATAACAGTTGCTGTGCCACTCTGAGCTTGAAATCGCAAATATAGTCGGGTATTTAGTACACCTGTTGGTACAACAGATGTCGTACCAAATATCTATTTTTATAATAATTTTTCTTACATTGACAAGTTGCAGTTTATCAAAGCTACTCTAATATCTAGTGATAACAAACAAATCAACCAGATGTCACTTATTGAACAGATTTTTATGGATAGTGGATATTATTTTGTTACAAGGAAGAAAACAGACTTCTTATATTTCATATTATTATTAAAGAGGACTAATTAATTAATTAATATCCATGGCAACTTACATAGTTTAAACTACTTTGTCTATTGATCAGCGCCATCTAGATATAATAGTTGGAATTTTGACCTTTTTCAGAGTTACGATTTGTAGTATGGAGATAGCAGTACTCTTGATTTATTGGTCCATGGTTTCTGTATACAGGTTGTAAACATAATTTGAAAATTTGCTATTCATCGCAGTATTCCCGTGCTGTAAGTGGCTAAATGACAAAATAATTTTTTGAGCTATCATAAAAACCATAACCCCGTTTTCAGAATATTGAAATTGTTTTTATAATGATATTTCAGCTATGCATCGTTAGGGTAAATTCCGATAAGTCTGAAAGGGTTGTAACCCTAACTAGTTTCCCGTTTCATTGTCGTGAACAGGTTCACGACAATGAAACGGGAAACTTCCGGTCCACAAAATTTATTAAAAGACAGTGCAGTAACAATAAAAAGATAAATGTAAAAAAAAACAGGTACAACAGTATAAAACACTCCCTACACTTTATTATTAAGGCACTTACCCCTAAATGGGCCGAGTAACTAAATTACAGATATAGGTACACGAAGGCTGTAGACTGTTATAAATTATTACACATGATTTAGCTTATTTAATGATTATAAACGTAGTAAAGAACCAAAATTAGCGATTATACGCGATGGAATTTGAAACAGCTCCGACTGTTGTGAAGGTCGAGCTGGGAGTGACCGTGGTACGAAACAAAATGAGAAAGCGAAGGAAGATGGAACAATTCAAATTTAAAATTTAAATACAAGTAAAAGAAAAAATGATAGCATACAAGCGGAGAAAAGCGATACAAAAAGGTGAGATGACGGTGTCAGGAGGTCACACCGTCACAAGTCGAACACGTTGACTAATTTTAACTGATTTTGAAAGAGAATTTTGTGGCTCTTTCTTTTGCTATTTAAAACGGATATTTTGACCATTTGCCACTTAACCGCGTTTTAGTGGACGGCAGAAATGCTGTACTCACATTATTGATTACGAAACAAGTGAAATGCTAAACAATTCTGAATTTGAGGCACTCTTGTTCAAACAACAATAAGCAAGTCGGTTGGTATCACAAAAAAATGCAAAATAGCTTTTGATCTGGCCATTCATATATGGGACGTGATAAAGGCGGGTACAGGACGGAAAAGGGACGTGGCGCGTCTATAATGATAAATTTATCAAACAATGTTATTTTATTCAATAATAATATTGTAATGATAAAATATCTTAATCTTAGAAGCAATAGAGCTCCTTGTGAAAGAGTTTGTCTAGTTGTGCCACTTTATCGATCTCTGCCGCCAAGCAGTAATGTTAGCATTACTGCATTTCGGTTTAGAAGGTTATGGGTGCTGGTGAAATGACAGGCACATGGGACTCGTCAACTTATGTCTCAGGGTGACGGACGCAGCGGCAGTGCCCCTCAGGTCTTTGCGATTGAAAGCTCTGAGTGCAACTGCATGGACAGGCTCGACTTCTTCGTCCCGTTACTTGATGTATATACACGTTCCGTGGCGGTAACAGCAGAGTGGTAACCCTAGTAGTGTTTTATTCATATTATACATACTCTGTTATTGTGTAGTCAAAACACTTTGTTGCTGTTAATATATGATATTGAAGTGTTGTGTCGGAACCGCACATCAATGAAAAAGTACGCTAGTACATAGATATCGTTGTATCAACTTATTAGCGCCACGTCACAGCGGTTACCTATTAGTAGTCCGAAATGACATTTTCCATAAATAACGTTTGCTTGAGTTTTCATAAATTTTTTTAAACCTTTTTTTTTTTTTTTTTTTGTTAATCCGGGGGAATCTGCTTACAGATACCCCGGCTCCGCGGGGGCAGAGCCGGGGTTATGTGGGAAACTTAACCTAACATAACCAAACCTAATCGTGTCTTTGCGATAAACATCCAACGTATCCTGAAAGAACAACGGTTTCGTTATAATTCGGTTTTCGGTGTAATGAAAATTCGAACAAACGTTATTTCGGAAAAAAGAAATTCGAGTTTGTGATAGGTTACCGTCACAACACTGATTCACATCGAAAGCTACTGTGCATACGTGATGGGAACATGGACGGGACTTGTTCCGTTCGGACCTCGTCCCGTCGTGTGTCATCGTCGTGTATACTTGAATACTATGTTTTTTTATACGTAACGATATTAACGATAGTGCCCATTCCGTCCGAGACGGTAAATATCACCTTACGTTTGCTGCGACCTTAATATCAAATAAACCTGTTATAGTACCTCATTAGTATTACTTACACAAAGTATGCACTATACTAGGATATCGTCCCTAAATTGCGAGAGCAGTTGGATAAAAGTATGGATCATGCGCCGACGTGTCCTGAGGTCATCCGTACAACATCGTTTAAAAATGGAACAGAGATGACAACGACGACGGAGACGACGGCGACGGCCTCGGAGAAGACGACCTCCGAGAAGACGACGATTACTGCCGAAGCTAATACTGCGATCTCTTCTTCAACTCCAAATTGGGATAACTATGACGATGACAATATGACTGGCGTTGTCATGGGAAAGGTTGATATACAAATCTTTTCTTCTTCTTCTTTTAGTTTATAGTTGGTGCCCTTTTTGGATTTCGCCAGTATCAAGTTTTCCGCTTAGTCATTTTAGAGCTTCTGCAGCTTCTGCTATTCAACAAGTATTGTGGATGTACAATTACATGTACAGTTTCATGGGCATTTCTCCTGAAGGGCTAAGTTCTCTGACTTCAGTGGTAGATTTTTTTATTTCAGGAAAAACATTGAGCGGGGAGGAAAAAGAAATTAAACTTAAATAAGATTCTATTAATTGGGCAACTAGATTCTTAACAGTTAATGACATATTTGATGCACCAAATTCAGTTACCACTGAAATGAGGACAATTTAGCAAAAGTATAATTCTCGTATAAAATATGAAGAAGGCATAAAATATGAAAAACATTCAATACCACTACAATTAAAAACTAAAATTTATTCATAAATTGTTATTTACTTGCTACGGGGAAATTAGGGGTGCGAAATCAAAGCCGTATACGTGAGTCACTTGCTATATTCGAACTGCCCCCGCTGGAAGCCGGCGCAGCTGTAAATACAGGTCAACATTTGTGATTCCTCATCCAATAACACCTGACTATAAGCGCTAGAAAGATCTAATTTTGTGAATTCTTTCGTACAACTTCGCGAATAGCTCATATATACGTGGAAGAGGATACCTATCAAATAAAAGTTGTTCGTTTAGTGTCGATGAGTAATCCGCATATAACCTAATGCCGTCGTGCTTCAACACTGGCACTACTGGGCTTGCGTAGTCTGAGTGCCGAACGGGTTCAATTATACTTAAACTTTGTAACCGATTCAACTCATCCTCTAACTTAGGACGCAGGGCAAATGGAACAGGACGCGCTTTACATAAATGGGAGTTGACCCTGACTTTAGATTTAATTTCACTTATACTTCTATGCAACAGCCTAATTTGTCTGAAAATAGTTTAGGATATTTCTGAATAAACATGCTTTCATCGACTGTAAAGTCGCAATTGTTTACTTGGCAAATCTGTAAATTAAATTTTGGCATGAAGTCACGACCAAGTAAGAGTGGTCCTCCGCCCTTTACTATATAGACATCTAATTTTATTTTTCATACTTTTGTAAGAAATAGGAAGAGAAATTATTCCTAGTTTTTATGATTTACCATCATAGCTAAGCAAAATTTTGTGACTATGTCACAACTGGTGACTCATAAAATACGTTTTGTAAGTATTTTCTGACATGACTGTTACCGCAGAACCCGTATCTAGTTCAAACTTTAACTGAATATCTCCTATTGATACCGACTCCTGCATAGGTTCGCCACATATTGAAGTGATATTGAATAATAATCGCTTATCATCATCCTCACTAACCTCCTCTGCACAGCATTGCAAAAAATTTTGATTTAGGGCACTCTTACAAACGCGCTTCAAGTGTCCTTTAGAGCCGCACTTCCTACAAGAGTACTTTTTAAATTTACACACATTGCTTGAATGACCATTATAACCGCACACTTCACACCTTCTCGCTGATGCCGATGGTATCCGTGGACTCCCCACGTACCTGCGAGATTGGGAACTAGGTGCCGACGACCTCGTGCGAGCCACCACCTTGCGAACATCTATAACCTGTGTTGCCAGAAGCGCTAAGGGGGCACCTGTCTAGCGCCCTCTCGAGCATAACGGACGCTTCCAGCCAGTCGTAATGCCTTTTCTAAGGTCAATTCCTCAATCGAGTCTATCGCTCCGGGCCGCCAGCCGTACCCAGCACGAATCTGTCCCTCAGGTACTCAGTCCATAGCCAGCCCGCGCACTCGGGCCGCCCATTGCTGAAGAGATTAACCAGAAATTTGCACGGTTCTATGAAACTTATGACGCTCTGCGAACCCACATTTCTTTGTTTTAAAATGGCCGTCGAGTAGCCGCATTACCTCTGCGTAGGTCAACGAACCGACGTCATTTGGTAAAGCTAAATCGCGTAGGAGTCTATAAGTGTTCTCCGATAAACTGCTGAGTAATATAGCTCGTCGCTTTGCACCACTTTTATCGCCGTCATTCGTAATTTCGTTCGCTGAGAACCATTGTTCCAAACGACCTTGATATAAGGCCTACTCTTGAAAATCGTGATTAAAACACTTATTACGCCAACCGATACTTTAGATATAATTTAAAATAAAAAAGAACGCGTTGGAACTCCTCGTCGCCACTGTTATTTACTTGCTACGGGGAAATTAGGGCTGCGAAATCAAAGCCGTGTACGTGAGTCACTCGCTATATTCGGACTGCCCCCGCGGGTAGCCGCCGCAGCAGCTACCACTCAAAATATTTAGAAAATATCCACGTAACATAAATCGACCAGAACAACGCAAAGAAATTTCACGTTATGACTATATTAATTCAAATGAGTTTTTAGTTTGGCTGTTCGGTTTTTTTTTTCAATCACACAAAGTATTTCCACATCTATATAGATTTTAAGACTTTCGTGGTTATTCACTAAATGATTATCACTAGTATCAGGTTTCTTACCACGGTATGACTTCTTTTTATTTTCCCGATATTTCGGACCTAATAAAAAGAAGTCATACCGTGGTAAGAAACCTGATACTAGTGATAATCATTTATTTCCACACCTGTTTTAAAAAAATTTAGAAAGTAATCTGTGACTACAAAAGCAATAAATTTTTTGGTACTTGCGTGATTAATATCTTTCATTACTTTTTATACATGTTTAAGTAATTCATGCAACTTCAAAATCTTTCCTTCCACTTTTTCTTCGTATACCTCTGTGTATATTTTCTTTAAACCTTTCATATGTAAATGGATCGCTTTTTATCTTTGCTTTTCTAGCACGTTCGCACGTTCCTTCATCGTCTTGATTTCCAGTTTTTGTTTTCTGTTATTAATTTTCAGTGGGAAGCAAGTAGTAATATTATAATTATGAAACTCGATACCATTTACTAATCATTTATGTGAAATAACGTATAAAATTATTGCTCTTCAAAGAAAATATGGCTTCGTTGGCAGTTTTTTCCGACTTCGGTGGAAGCTTTTCTGAATTCGGTGGGATAAAATCCACCGAATCCAAGGCCACAGGATTCAGAATATATACATTTTTTTGATATTACTTGTAAACGACAATACTTGTAAAACCAATAAATTGTTATTGTATCTTACTCGTTACAACACATATTATAAAAAATATTGCATACGACCATTGACTTACAATTTATATGGACGTCGGGTCCGCGCTAAAAAGTGTCCGCACTTGTAAGGCGCTAAAATCGTATACAGAGCGCGACACTCCGCTTTAGTCTTCATTTGTTCTACTGACAGCGCGATACTGCGATGACATTACAATTTAAATTTCGAATAGGTTGACTTGGGACATTTTTTTTCGTGGTTTTTGTATTAGACCCGTCGTCCATTTATTTGTAAGTCAATGCATACGACCATAAAATTTAGTTTTTGAAATATCGTATGCACCGAATTCAAAAACGAGCTTGGACCAAATCCACCGAATTACGTATTTACATTCAAAAATAGGCAAGAAATCATACATCTGTTTTCTTCAGCCGCAGGAGAATGAATTGCGAAGCTTCCGAAAATGCTGCACTTGTGATGTGTAGCATAATTAGTCTGACCACCGAATTTCCGCACAAGCCTGGGACACGCAGCAATCTAAGTTGTGTGATAAAACTATTGTCTAATTTATGGCCAGATTACAAGTACTGTCATCTAATTTATTAAACGTGAACTAAAGTCCAATATTGAACATATAGTGTCAATTTTAAGAAAAATGACACTTGGAGGATTCTGCATTTCGGATTTTTTTTCTATTAGGTCCGAAAAGTTTATTGTGAAGATTTTGTGCGTTAAATGCCAGTTAACTTTCGACCTATATTATACACTCTATTTTTAGATTTTTATTTTGACAAATAAGTGGAGTTTAGTGCATGGACACCATTAGGTCAATGATGGACACACAATTGCGGCTTACGAGAAATGCCCTCATATTAAATTTGGAATTTTGATATTGCTGAAGTGTGAGTGGCACTGTCACAGTTTAACCACACGACATTTTCGTTCTTTAATTTGATATCATTAAAAAATAAAGTTGCCTAAGTTACAGACTTCTTTCTTTCGTTATAAGAAAGAATCCTCTATCCCACTAGTTGGGTGATCCAGTGCAGTTGACTGAAATAATGAGATTTTTGTTCTCATTTCGTAATTTAATCTGTGAGTGGAGTAGTTTCACAAAAGATGTACCAATAAAATAAATATTAATAATTATTAATTTATTTTTTATGATGACAAGTAGCGGGATAAACAAGTCGTGCGCCTGACGGCGAGAGACACGCCTGGCTATAGCACTTAGAGCGCAAACATCAGAGGGGCTCTGCCACTGCACCCGTCACCCTGACACATAAATAGACAAGTCCCATGTGCATGCCTTTGCAAAATTAGGTGATTCTTCGAAATGGTATACTGGGGAGGCCTTCAGCATGTGTGAGTGTATACCATAGCGATCAAGTATTTGTATGTGGTAGCATCAAGGACTGAACCGCCTGTCTGGCCAGACGATTTCAAGATTTTAATTTTGGCGTCGAACTACCTGCAGAACGAAATGGTTATCACTAATATCAGGTTTCTTACCACGGTATGACTTCTTTCTATTTTCCCGATATTTCGGAACGGTTGCACGCTCCATGGTCACGGGTTGACTGGACGGCGGCAGATGACAGCTTTAAGAGCAGACATATCTGTCTAGCCTCTTGCGCTGTCGACGACTACATTCATCGCAATTTGTTGTGGCTTTACGAGCGGCCACCAGCCAGGCAATAAAACCAGGGCATCTTTTTTATAATGTCTTCTATTTCATTGTGCATATATGGGGTGTAAATTTGAAACGGGGCAGCAAGGCCAGCCACCTTCACCGTTGTAGTTACAGGAAAACGGTTCTATAAGACTATCCATGAACTTTGAAGATATTTTGATTGGCATTCACAGATTTTGAAAACATGGCACAGCCAGCAAGATAAAAAAGCAATTTTTACAAAACTTTCTTTTATGCCAGTCGATTCGGTCTCTGGTAAGGATGAATAGTCTCTATGGGACCAATTGAGGTAAGAGTACTACTCGAAATGTCAGAAATCGCAAAAAACTTTTCATCATACATTTTGTAGGGACATATTTAGTACCTGATCAGTTATTCATTAAGGAAACTAACAAATTGACAACGTGTTATGTATTTCAAAATAAAAACAATAACAAATAGCTGCTGTACAGTTTTTACCATTTAAATAATATGCTTCCAATAAGTCTATTGATTAAAATCGTACGTAAGGCAAGTTTCCGGAATGGATAAGAAAAAATAGTATAAATGGTCAGAAATGAATTTATTGTTTCTCAAAATATTCTCCGTTAGCTTTAATGCACTTTTTCCTAATGAACCATGAACCAATTTCGAAAACATTTATACCACTCCTCCGTGACAATCTCTGAAACATATTTTTCATACTCTTCGACAGCCTCTTCAGGTGATGAGAATCGTTGACCGCGTAACTGGCTCTTAATTTTTGGAAATAAATAAAAGTCACAAGGTGCCCGGTCGGGGCTGTACACGGGATGGCTCATAAGGTCAACGTTGTTCACCTTCAAAAATTCATTTGTCTGTCTGGCCGTGTGAGAACTGGCATTATCGTGGTGCAAGATGATACGGCGTTTACGGTTATTTTTACGGAGTTTTTCAATAACTTCTGGCAAACAAATGGTCGTGTACCAATCACTATTCACGGTACAACGATTCTCCAAAACAGCAGTAGCTACGTGTCCAGTTTTATTAAAGAAAGGAAGTAATCGTCCGCTTAGAGGCACTTTGCACGCGCGCCACTTTGGTTGGTTTCGGCTCATCTCGAAAGACTCATACGCTCGATTGCTGCCTTGTTTTGGGATCGTAACTATAAATCCATATTTTGTCACCTGTTACTATGTCCCACACCAAATTTGACGTCCCTTCGTTGAATCTGGTAAGATTGGCATTGCACCAAGTGACGCGATCCGTTTTTTGAGCCTCAGTCAAATTGTGTGGGATCCACCGAGAGCACAGCTTTTTCACACCCAAATGTTTGTGTAGTATTGATTGTATTTGACTCATGCCTATGCCTTAGGATACCCGAATGTCATGGTATGTCACATACCTGACTGTTTTGATCATACGGCGCACAGCATCGATGTTTTTGTTGTTCACAGCAGTGGACGGGCGACCATCACGAAATTCGTCACTGAGATTCACACGACCGCGTTTGAATTCTGCAAACCAGCTATAAGTAGTCGTCTTGCAAGGTGCTTCATCGCCAAAAGCAGTTTGAAGCCGAACGAATATCTGCTGAGCTGTAACATTACACTTAAAGTCGTAGAAAATCGTACTACGAAAATTTTCACGAGTTAAATCCATGGTGATGTAGACAACCAATTTCTAAAATGACGCCACAATGTAAAAACAAGTGACAGTCAGATGAAATAAACTGTATTCTACAGCCAAAGAGTTCCATTTTCAAATGTTGTAATTACTTTTTAAATATTGTTTATGTAAGTGGCCAGTTCCGGAAACATATAGTGCGCCCTATGCATTAAAGGTGACAATTCGCTATTAAGAAAGCAAAACAATACTGTTCCAAATTTAAAAAATAATGATATGATTATAATTTGGTTTTACTTCATTATTATTTCTAGAGTAGGAGCCAGTTTCTTTTCCAACAAAAAGATTTCATTTAAAATGTGTGATGAAAGGTTTTTTTGCTATTTCTGACATTTCGAGTACTCTTGCCTCAGTTGGTCCCATAGAGACCGTCATCCTTATCAGAGACCGGATCGAATGGCATATAAAAAAGTTTTGTAAAAATTGCCTTTTATCTTGCTGACCGGACCATTTTTTTCAAAATCGGTGAATGCCTAACAAAAAATATCTTCAAAATTCATGGATAGTTCTCTAGAACCGTTTCCCTGTAACTACAACGATTAAGGTAGCTGGCCTTGCTGCCCCGTCCCAAATTTACATCCTGTATATGTAGAATTACTGGTTCTGAGGTTGTGCAGTAGGTACTCGATGCGTCACAATGTACGAGTAGATATAGGAATGTGTAAGTCTCGCGGTTACTTGTTATGCATGATGGATGAGCGAAACGAAATCACTACAATGTACAATCGATGTCCAAGGGTACCTGACCTCTTATCTGACTATTTGGTTCTGATTAGATCAATGTGAAGAAAGGTTTTAAACAAACTTAATCTTTAACCTGTGAGACGTAAAATTCATTTTGATATTCCTTATTGCATCATGCATACCTAAAATACAAATCTTTTTATTTAGTTTAGGCTCCAGCTTTCCACAAATGTACTTTGTTTTGTGAGTTTTTTAGTAAGTACCTAGTTTTAGTACTTTTTGTGGAAGGAGAAATAAACGATATTTATTTATTTATTATTCATCATTCTTTTTAAGCCAATTTGATCTTTAATTACGTTACATACGTAAATTAACTTATCTGTTGAATCCGTAAAAAGGCTCTCAAAACCAAAAAATCAACTTTGGGATCAGGTACCTTAGGGCGTCGCCTGTACTAGTAACCCCGAGCAGATACAGACAGCTAGGAACCGATATTCCTTTTAAGCAAAACTAACGGCTGGATTTTACGTTTTTTTAACAACGCTCTTAGTATTGACCGTTGCGCCCTTTCACCTCTCAGCATATTAATTTTTTATACAAACCATTGGCTTAGATCGATATAAATCAGTTGTTGGTCATTGGAACAATATTCTTTCTCTCCAAAACGTAGTGCCTTCTCAAAAAAAACCGTTGCGGGATATTACGGGACCTTCTATTAAATGGATCAAAATCGAAAGCACTATTATCTAATGCGTTATCTACTGGACAAGCACAGCAATGCGATTAATTTTATTAATTATTTTTTTTTTAATTTTTTTTAATCATGATTTGTCAATTGCTAATGACCTATGTGGACGAAGTGACCGACACTCGCCTACTAGATGTTCTGTTCAATCTGACCCTAAAAATGTGCAGATTGTACCGTTCAGGAAATTCTGAATTAAACAAAGAATGCCATAGGCCTCTTTTACACTGCTCCACGACGCAACTGTGTGCGGAGCTGCATTTTTTAACATTATATAGAAGTAATTCAGTTTGTATAGAAAACATGCGTCGTATAAACAAACTGACAACGCTTCTCCGTGCGGGGAAGTGCGGCGCGTGCGCCTATCACGTATCGCAAACAGCGCTCCGCAGTTTGTGCCTGCTCGGCCTGTACATGGAGCGACCCCTATGCGGCGCGCGCGGGTCCGCAATACTGCATCCTCTACGCGGAGCAAACGAAGTATTCTAGATCTGCATCTCCGCCACCGCGCGCGTGACTCCGTCTTCCTGCACACTTTTGCGTGGCGCGGAGCAGCGTGATAACCGCACGCACGATCGATCATATATACTCAAGTTAATTATATGCAAAATAGAGATGTATTTTGATTGGTGAACAGTGTTACGTGTGTGGCATGGAAGAGGAGGGGATACCACTGTCGGCGGACTGCGCGAGCGCCTTCACCGTAGAAACCTTTAATTTTCAAGATACAGGTGCCGCTTCCAAGGTGGATACGAAAGATTTCAAAAGATTTTGCCGATATATCGACGCGTAAGCCTTTTTCAGTATTCTAACTTATGACCACGAATAAACAAGAAATGTTAGTTTCAAGAATGCAGATGGAAAATGAAACTGATCAATAACTGATTGGCTTCAATAGTGGTCAGTTTGATTTTCCGTCTTCATTTTAATGCGATTGGTTCAATCTAACCGAATATGCTAAGTTTATTTTTAGTCAGCGTTAATTTCTTACTGCTTTGAAGTATTGAAGGCATTTTGCGTTTTTTCACAGGCCCAAAGTGCACATTAAGCCAGACAGCCCAAAATCGTTTTGGGGACGGTTCACTGGCGGATGCTCAGTGCGATTTTCTGACATAGCTACTGTTTACACCCAAAGAACGTGCAGGAATAAAAATAGGCCGTTGTTGGGGCGACATTTCGCTAGCAAGCGGATGGCAAAACTGGAAAAATCGTTGATGGTTAGTACCATTACATTTGAATCAGAAGTGGACGTAAAACCAGCAGTTTCTTCTTCAGCAGGGGTTCTTTGGAAAGCGAATAAATAGAGATCTCAGCCTGTTTTGTGTTAACGATGTACAAAGTTCCTCTTGAACAATACTCGACATGGACCAAATTTTTTTATGATATCAAGTGACGGGACGATCAAGTCGTGCGCCTGATGGTAAGCGACACACCTGTCCATAACAGTTGCAGTACCACTCAGAGCTGTAAATCGCATATATCTGAGGGGCACTGACACACGTCACCCTGAGACATAAGTTGACAGGTCCATGTGCCTGTAATTTCACCAGCACCACGATACTTGGCGGCAGAAATAGGTAAGGTCGCAGTACTTCCGTAGACGAACTCTTCACAAAGAGCTTTATCTACTGCTAGTAAAGATTGTAGGAAAGGCCTGCTGCTAATAGAGACAATTCAAAAAGCTCGAGCGGTGGCAGCCCAATTGTAATTGAGAGACCAACGGGTCGAGTCCCTATGAGACTTAATTTTTAGCAGCAACGCCTCTTGGTGACGGTGAAGAAAAATGTCGTGGTGGTGCAAAAGTACTGGATGGTTTGCTTGATCGCATATTGACTAAACACCTTAAAATACATGATGTACAGTTCGGGTTCACGCGTAGACTCTCCACAGAGTCTGCGGTGTTATGCCTCAAGCATACTGTCCGGTATTACACGGACCGACGAACATCAGTTTATGCGTGTTTCCTCGACTTGTCCAAGGCCTTCGATATGGTCTCGTATGATGTGCTTTGGCACAAATTGCGTTGTGGGACAGACCTTCCGTCAGAGGTTACTGGGCTCTTCGAATACTGGTATGGAAACCAGATCAATAATGTTAAGTGGGCTAGTTCCCTGTTGAAGTCGCACAAGTTGAGGTGTGGGGTGCGGCAAGGGGGTCTCACGTCGCGAAAGCTCTGCAACCTGTACGTGAATGCGCTGCTTGAGGAGCTCAGCGGCACTGACGTTGGATTTTCGCTGGGCAGTACTATGGTTAACAACATAAGTTAAACCGATGACATGATTCTGCTGAGCCCGTCAATTTGTGCCCTCAGAGAGTTACTTGGTATTTGTGAGAACTATGCTGTGGCTCAGGGACTCAGGTATAATGCAAAAAAAGTGAGCTTCTAGTATTTATAAAGAAATTTATCTTTATCTTTATCTTTATTTAAGCCGCGGGGTGGAGTAGTGGGCGTTGTAGCGCCGGTCTCCCTCTGTGGCTGAGAGCTCGGGAGAGCATTCAAATTTAAATACCTGGGTCACTGGGTGACTGACGATCAGTCCAATCTGGTGGACATTGAAAGAGAGCGGAGAGCCCTCGCGGTAAGAGCAAACAAGCGTGCCCGGAGGTTTACACGTTGTGGTAAAGAGGCCGAATTAACGCTTTTTAAAGCATACTGTCAAACCTTCTGCACGTATAGCCTTTGGGTGAAGTAAAGTGAGGCGACCCTAAACACTTGGAGGGTGCAGTATAATAATCAAATCAAATCAAATAATTTATTTCAGACTTAGTCCATATCATGTTAGTTACAGAAAACTTATAGCCTATGTTACTAACATAGATTGTCAGAGAAAAAAATAAATAAAAATAATGCGTTTAGGATGTTGTTGGGACTGCCGCAGCATTGTAGCGGATCAGGTATGTTCACCTCTATGAACCGCTACCATGCGAGCCTCTGCGCGCACTGATGGCTTTCATGCCATCATTAGAAAAAGAGTAGCTTCCCTGTGGCGACGTGTGCGCGGGGGCTCCAACAACATCCTGGTCTTAGTGGGAGATAGATTGTGCTGTCCCATTCAAACCCACTGGATGAACCTACCTACTATACGTACCTATATTTATAAGAAAGCATGGTGCATGTAGTGCACTCATTATTATTATTATTATTTCATTGAGTTTGTTTTTATTTTATTGTTCTTTATTGATTTCATTTCATTTGTATTTAATTGAATTTATTTTATTTGAATTTGAATTGAATTGAATTTATTTAATTATCTAACGTAATGGATGTGTGCGCTTTGAATTTTGTATAATAATAATATGAATGTAATATTCCGAAATAAATGATCTGATTTCATTTGGTGTACCTACACGAGGAAGAAAATTTATGACATAAAAATTCGAAATTCGAAAAAACAAGATGGCCGCCATACAAATTTCAGAGCCATATAGCTCGGCGAGTATTGGAGATAGGCAGTGGGTCCTTTACCAAATGTCATAGAGAGCGGTGGGGGTCAACTGCCTGTTAAAAAATTTTTTCAAGATGGCCGACTCAAAGTGGGGGCCAAAAAAAAGTGGTCCGATCCGGCTCAAATTTTGCTTGCGCCCGTGTATGGGGGCTAACAATAGGAATATGCGGTCGAAATTTCAATTCCGCCATTTTCCAAGATGGCCGCAAAACATGTTAATTTTCTGCCCTTTGGGGTCATTTTTCTCCCAGAAGGAGTGCGGGTTGGTACAAATGATGTAGGGGAATTATGGTCGGACGGGTTTGATGAGTATCAAAAGGTAACGTCATCTTCAAAACCCGCCCAAAACCTTCAAACCTTCATACCCCCAGCTGCCCGGCCAAAGTATGCGTCTTGGCTCAAAGTGTCCAAACAAATGTTTATCCACACCCTGGGCAGTTTCTACCGGGAGTGAAAAAAATTCAAAATTCGAAAAACAAAATGACCGCCATACAAATTTCGGAGGCCCGTACCTCGGAAACTATTGGAAATAGGTAGATCGTGCTCAAACTAATATCGTAGAGGGCGATAGGATCTAACTGGCTGTCGAAATTATTTTTTCAAATAATTGAGAGATAGGGTAGGATAGATGAGAGGCGCTCAAACAAATGTCGTACAGAATAGTACGAGGCAACTGCAGGTAAAAAAAATTTCGAGATAGCCTGAAAATGGAGGAATAAAAGTGCTCCGATCCGACTGAAATTTGACAACCGATCGTGTATGGAGGTTCATAATATGTATCTGCGAGCGAAATTTGGATTCCGCCATTTTCCAAGATGGCCGCTATACAAGTGAATTTTCGGTTTTTTGACCAGCATTTTACTCCATGAAGAAAACCGGATATATATACAGTAATTAAAACAGTCAACTCAATTCAAAAGGTTGTGGCGTATGTAAAAGGATCCACTCAGCTCATGTCCACGCCAAGTACAGACTGCAACGCTGATTTTCAGTGAATTCTAATTAGAATTACCTATTTTATTGAGATCGGTTAACGGAAAGTGGATGAAATCCAACAAACTGTATTTATCTCCTAAATTGCCACCTTTAGAGGTGGAATATTTTATTCAAATTCAAGTGGGACTACTACTGAGGTACCCCCATTCCGACAAAAAAAGAATCAACGAAATCGGCTCCCAAATGTTAAATTTCTTTTTTTTTTCAGAATGTTGACAACGGCTGTATAGTGAGCCCAATGGCAACGCTTCTACCCTTATCGAAGAGTATATCTCTGTTTTCAAAGTTTACAGCCTGCGTATGCACAGGTACAGTTTTTTAACAGGAATAATACAATTATTAATAATTACATTTGTAAAGTATTTATTAATTTCCTTTGGTAACTGTAAACTCTAGTAGACAGGCAATAGGAGACCATTTTGCTTTGTCAAAATCAATTGGTTGACTAAGAAAAACTAACGTATTTTGATATCGGAGGACAATATTATGGTATAACCATGGACCAATAACTACAAGAGAAGCTAATCGCAATACAAGGCAGCGTAGTCGGGTGTTTGGTACATTTTGGTACACTAGATGTCGCAATGTGTACACAAATGGCTGCTTTTGTAACTAATTTGTTTTTACATTGAAGAGTTGTAATTTATCAAAGCTATTTTATATTTCGATTGGTAAACTGGATGGCGGTGCAGTAAGTGCACCGATTTTATGGATAGTGCCGGCTATTATTTTATTTTGTTTAGGATTAGCGCCATCTACCCACATTGGGAAGCGTTAATTTACGAATCACAATGCCATCTATTGACACACATATTTGTTAATGTTCAGAAAATAATTTCAGTTCTTGATCAATATTTGAATAATATACAAGGAAAAAAAAACAAAGCACTTATATTATATTTCAAATCAGACACAAATTCATTGATATCCACGGCCATTTGCATAATATAAACTCCTTCCAAGCTATCGATCAGCGCCATCTAAATATAAGACGGGATTTTGACCTTTTGCAGAGTTACGTTCCGAAGCATGGAGATTAGAAGTCCTCTTCAGTTATTGGTCCATTGTAATATCTTTAAACCTCTCACCTGAAAAGTATTTTACAGGCGTGGCCTTAAAACACCAAGACGAGGATGCGATTTGTTTATTTATATTATATTTAGCTTAGGATATTTTATTTAGCTTAATCTTTTAGATTTTTTATTAAAGGAAATTTTAAAATTACCCAAAAGACAGCAAAAGATTGTAGATCAACATGGCCAATTAAAAGTTTGCTAATATATTTTTTAAATGTTTTCATTTATACTTTGACATCGTGCGGAGTTTTTTGGCCAATCGAATAGTATGATTCGTTTTGTGACGTTACTAGATTCAAATAAATTAATGTTTTTTAGAAAGTATATTTAATCAAAACTATATTATTAAGTTTTTTATGATAGCAAGTGACGGAACAAGAACAAGGAACAAGTCTTTCTTACCCATAACAGACTGCCACTGCCACTGCGCTTGTCACCCTGAGGGCGCGTTCCCATTATGTTGCGACGACAGATAGTCGTGCAGTTTAAAGTGTCGTGGCTTGTATATTTAAAAAAAGTTGTTTACTTATAGTGCAATACGATTAACTGTCGTTCACAACATTTTTGACGTTACTACGACAGACTGTCGTGACAATGGGAAGAGCTAGAACGACAGTCATTCAACGATAAATAAAACGTCACGATAAAAATGTGACGACAGATAATCGCAGCTACTATTGTCGTCACGTTTTATTTATTATTGTCTGCAGGTATTCCGCCTTTTTAAAAAGTAATGCGTTATTAAAATTTTATCTTCCATTCCCATTTCACATGGAAGCGAACACTCACTACTCTCTTCCAAAAGAACATTAGATTAGAGACGATTGCTGTGCATCAAACGATTCTGTCGTGCAAACGACAAGGCGCCTGCAGTGAACCGATAAATTGTCGTTACGATCCCGTGGGAGCAGCTAGACACGACAGTCGTTCAACGATAAAAAAAACTCCACGACCAGTTCTACAGATAGTCGTGATAGTCGGAAACAGCTCAGATTACTGCTTGGCGGCAGTAATAGGTGACGTGGTAGTACTTTCCTGGACGAACTAAAATATGTAATGTCAGATAAAGTTTGAAATGTGTCCTTTTGGGCAACAACGGTTTTGATACTAATCCTTGTTTCCTCTAGTTATTTCTTATATTTATTTAACGATTGCTTAAATTTCATGTTCCGCTTTCATCTTCAACCCTCTGACCAAAATCATTTGTTGCAGGCAGTTGGTGTAACACGGTTGAAGTCAGTCACAGTGGGAAAAAGTACTTCTTCATGTTACTGATTAGTATTATGAATACTTTATAAAGATCTGCCGCTACGGACTTGACACCGTCGACGTTTCAGCTTGTGACTCACGCCTTCGCTACCTCAAACACATGATTGTTGCTTAAGGTTCCATTTATTTTACAAATGTGTATTATTAACAATATAATATACTTTACATCATTGTGTCTGATGGTGGAAGCGCCACCTTCGAGTACAATTTGCTGCTACACTAGCACTACTGTTTCACCAATAGCCCCGCCGCCTTCCGCTCCTGCACCTCAACCCTTGGGTTCTAACTCTCGAGGGCTTCCAGTGTCTGCTCTCGTTCTTAGTCTGATATCCGTTCCTCCGACGTCCGTATTCCATAGCATTCAAGTTTACTTGAAAAGAGCAAACCTTACAGTTTCTTGCTCATTCTTCTCAGGGAGGTCAGCGTAGTGAACGAGCAGTAGCTTAAATATGATGTTTTCTAGTGTAAATTTATTTTACCTATGGAACAAATGATTCTTTGATTTTGATCCGCGCGAACCAATTATTGTCAACAAATTAAAGGACGCGTGATGGTGTTTTGATTTGGTCATCATCATCAATCATCAACAGCCTGTCGTAGTCCATTGCTGGACATAGGCCTCTCCCAATACGCGGCATTTCGCCGGTCCTCAGCTCCTTGCATCCATCTGCTGCCAGCAGCGCTTCGCAAGTCGTCACTACATCTGGCCAGAGGGTCTTGTACACTACGTTTGTCGAACCGTGGTTTCCGCTCAAGAACTCGCTTTCCCTATCGGTTATCGGTTCTTCGACAGATATGTCCAGCCCACTGCCATTTCAATTTGCTTATTCTACCAGCTATGTCGACGACCTTAGTTCTCTGACGGATAACCTCGTTCCGTACCTTGTCCTTCAGAGAAACTCCGAGCGTAGCTCGTTCCATAGCTAGCTGAGCGACTTTCAGATGGTGAACGAACCGTATCGTGAGCGTCCACGTCTTGGCTCCGTATGTCATAACAGGTAGAACGCACTGATTTGGTCGAGTATTATTTATTTGACGTAATGTTTCGTATTGCGAACGGAGCTGTCCTCCTGTTCCGTGTCATCCGATGTCCTATTCTACTACACTGCCATAACAGTTGTAGTACCAGTCAAAGCTTTAGACCACAAAGAACTGAAGGGCCCTGCCACTGCGCCCGTCACCTTGAGACACAAAGTTGACAAGTCCCATATGCCCAGTACCCTTCAAAACCGGAACACAGTAATGCTTGATTTACTGTTTTGGCGACAGAATCAGGTGAGGTGGCAGTACTTCCCTGAACGAACTCTTTTACAAAAAGCTCTACTGTTCCTAAATATTCGAACAATAGTTTTTTATATATAAATGCATTATTTACTTCTTATATCTTCAATCCTTACTTATATTTCATAGTTCTTAAGGTTGTTTCACAACAAGGAATTGCTTGTTATTTGAACCGACCCTTTTCGACATTTTTATTAGGTAGATAGATAGTTTATTGTCTTGCATCACGCACACACAAGAATATAATAGAGTAAATTCAGTAAACTGATTAAAAGAGACACAGAAAACAAAATTAAAGAAAAAAGAACATAAAAACATAATACTAACCTAATGATCAACAGCTTTTGTATGCTATTGTGTAAAGCAAGCCAAATAGGTTGTGGCTCAGTGTAAAATTTTCCCAACAGCAAGGCACTGATTTTCAGCCACCACCTTCGAGAGTAGCGCGTTGCGGTGCATGAAAAGCAAAAACATTGTGAGGTGAATGTAGTGTGCATACGTGTTAGTATCAAGTGAGTATTATGTCAAAGAAATAATTAGTAACTGTAAAAAAAAATCAGAGAAAATGAGCTGAGTTTGTCCCGCCAACAGAGGTCTCACGGTTCTAATAGGAAATTTGTCGTGAAAAGTGAAGAATTTTAACTTTCCATACAAGTACTCTGGTTTTTGGAACTTTATCACGCCAAATAGCATACACGCGAGATGTAGATGTCTTCGCGAGTCCATATTAGACGATCGGAATCAGTCTCATATCCGTGTAATAAAAGCGAATAAGATGTAATGCGTTCCGCTTATGCGGTTTTTCGTCCTACAAGAACATTGATTTGGTTACAAGTTACGCATTGCAAGGTTCAAAAGTTATCGACTTTTATAATTGTCATTAACAGATCAATGGCTTTCTAGAGTAGTAGTAGCTATCTCTGAAATACTAAGTTCATTAGAAAAAAATGTATAATAAAAACCAAGGCGCATTTGAAGAGCAAAACCGACGAATCCTGTACCATCCAATGTTGTCACAAAATTATTTTAGCTAATGGAAAGTTGTATGTTAGTTATTCGCAATACATTTTAATGAGCATCTGCGCAATAAGTAACAAATTCTTGAAAAGCAGCGACCTTATACACGTATCTCTACATTATGCATAATTTGTACACAATATTATTTTGATAATTGTTTTAAATGTTCAATATCATATATTTTATCTTTTATTGTTACATTTATCGTTTTTTCTTTTACAATAAAAGTGATTCATAATTAATAAAGTTAATTTAAAGTTTATTGTTCTTTTCTTTTGGAGTTACAAAATGAACGATTCAATTATTTCATACATTACATAGCATTACAACAGGTTTTGCCACAGCTTTGTAAAATCCATAATTCCTAGACTTGGTATTATATAGAACGCAGCCACATGTATTCCGATCTCAAATACAATCTAAATATTTCTCGAGTTACCAATTCTGCCATGCCACGCTGGGAGCATTCAGATTGTTTGGACGCCGATTTCAGATAAGGCGACCACTTCTGCTTATGCAGCCAATCTTCTGGGCGAAGGTCCTCGCGCATTGCGGGCATGTGAGCATACCATTTTCAAATTTGTAACTGATTTCCGCAGATTCCGAGCGCCGTTCATTCTCAATGTCACAGACTTTGGTGTTGACCTTGAGGGTACTACACTCCGGCCGGTTGGCGGCCTGCTGCTCCCAATGCGATGGCTCTATATTGCACTTCTTCATGTGATGCTTCAGCACATCTTTCTACCTAAAGAGTTCTCCGCTACGTTTACGCTTGCCCTCCTCATGTTCAGAATAAAAGATGCGCTTCGCCATCAATGCGGTCCCCCTACAAATAACTTATATGCGATGTGTTATATTACAAATAACAGATTAAAAACTAATACGATACGATACCATGTTACAAATAACGGTTCTTAGGTGTTAAAACACAAAGTAATACAAGCATAAGTATGGAAACTAGATCGAAAAATTATTATCATTAAGTATAAATTACTTATTCGAAAAACTATTTTCAAATCGAAAATAATATACGAAGAAAAAAGGGAAAACTACTTTCTAAGAGACATTTTTAATAAGATTGTCTTTTCCTACACTATTCTTAACATATTTAAATATTACGTTTATTGAATCAGTTAACGAAATCGGCGATGTAATTCATCACCATAAGTCATAGGGCCATATTGCGGAATATTAAGGAACTAAATTATATAAAATCAATGGCAACGCCGCCATTTCAGAGAGCAAAAGTATCATCAGCCTTATCTTTGAAATAAACAACTTCCCCTCTTATTTTGTACATATAATCTATACAATATCTCTGCGTGCGTAGTGAGGTAGGCGAAGGCTGTTTCCCGCGGGCCAATCACAGCGCGAGCCGACAGGTGGGCCGCCGGCAGCCATTTTGAATTTCACAACGCACAAGTCGATATTTCAGTTGATATATTATTTCAACTTAGACTTTTACCTATTTATTTGTCCTAAAGTGTGTTATGGTACTGTGGTGATTGACAAAAACACAATTTGGATATTCAAAAATAATTATTTATTGATAATGTGTACTGGTTACAACGTAATGTACAAAAAAGTCCTATATTAATAAGGACGGTGTCATAAGCCCTAAGTGCGTCTAGAACGATAAAGAAACTAGACTATTTTGAAGCTATTTTGAATTTGCAATTTTTTAATGCAGCAATAAGTGCTTCAAAACAGCAAATTCAAATTGATTTATTTCTTTTGTGTTAGGTTAGCAAACATTGTGGTCCGCCTTGCGGCATACAAAGTTTTCAACAATTTGTATATAGGAACATTATTAATAAGTGTGACAATGCAATAAATAAATAAATAAATAAATAAATAAATAATAAACATGCATTCCAATCAGTCACAAAAACTAAAAAAAGATAATAAATTTAACAGATGAGCCTAAAAAAATACAGTTTTGTATCTTCATTACTATACATTGTCGTATTAATAAATAAAGTTGACTTAGCCATTCCTAATTTCACTCGAAAGTTTATTGTAGACCTTGAAGGCCATCACAATCTCTTGACGTAGAGCAGATTTGCATGGTCTTGTTTGCCGTTGACATCAGAAAGTGCGCCCGTGAGACGAATTAGGCTCAACTCACACTGGCGCAGAGTCGAAGCGTCGCGTTGCGTCCTGTTTTTCAACTACACCGCGCGACGACGACGCTCGCATTAGTGTACCGGTATCACAGTATGGTCGGCGTTTGACGCCTCACAGCGCCCAACTGACGCGCAGCGACGCGCGTCGACGCTCGATTCCATATTAGTAACACAAATTTGTACCTTAATAATGGGAAAATAGAAATCAATATGCTATAGGCGAAAAACATGGCGCGTCGCGACGCTTCGACTCTGCGCCAGTGTGAGTTGAGCCTTATTGTCATAAATTAGGATGACGCTTTACGCCTTGTGAAATTTTAAGTATGTTTGATGTGGATGCCAGAGTCAAGGTTTCTATTTTTTTTATTTTGAAAGTGGTTTTTATTATGTTTCAATTTTATAGCGAATAATATATACATACATACGGTGGCAACACTCCCTATATCAAGCCATAAATAAATTAGACAGATACCGCACTGCTATTACAATGGTGCTATAGTTATAGCACAAAATTTTACTCTCTACACGTCAAACGTAAAGCCACAGCCTGTTTTTTAAATATACTTAAGGAAATTTAAGGAAACTGTTTAGAAGTCTGGAATAAACTTTAACATTTTATACATTAATTTTAATGATTTTTCACGGGAAGTGAATAATTAGTTTTTCATCGATTCTGAAAAAAAAAACAACTTCAGGTAACCCTAACATTGTTTTAAGAATGTGAAATATCGTGTTTTTAGGTTTTGGATACGTTACTGTCTATCTATCTTAATTGCATAAGCTATACATATTTCTTTTTTGAAACAATGTTTCGAGCCTTTTACAGGTCCCATGGTCACGGTTCACTGGTTTGTTTGAAAAAACAAATATACATGTTTTAAAAAAAGTAACTGTATTTCCAATTAGACGGATATGTTTGTTCTTAAAACTGTCATCTACTGCTAGCCAGTCCGCCAGTCATTCAGCTAATCATGGAGCGTGTAACCGTTTCGAAATATCTGGAGAATAAAAAAAATCAAACCGTGCTAAGAGGAACCTGTAATATTATTGATTAGTCATTTCATAAATAACTACGACACTTTTTAAGCGACTTCAAAAAAAAGGAGGAGGTTATATGTACGTATGTATGTTTTCAGATATCGCCGTCTATTGTGGACAGATTTTGAAAATTCTCTCGAAAACTCTCGCGGTGGTCCCACTGTCTAAATCTGATGAGAAGATCCCATGATAATCGAAGGAAATCCTCAGATTTTATAGGCATGTCCGTGTATTCACTAATATCTCCATCAATTGTGAACCGATTTTGAAACTTCTTTTTTTTTATTTGAAAGGGTAAAGTTTCTGATACTGCCCCGGGTTCGTTTCGGCTATCACAAATTACTAATTATTTTCCACAATTAAAAGTTCACTTTTCATTATATATATAATCAACAAATCACCGCCACCATGAATGACAACCAGAAATGAAAATACAAAATGTACAAAGGAGTCCGTAACAGTCCCATTGTCACCAAGAAGTCAGAACCTGAGGAGGGGATCCCATGGAAATCGAAAAAAGCCGATAAGCTAACTTTTGAAGTAGGTTTTTTCTTTTTCAACGAAAAAGTTACAATTATTGAATCTATATTTTTTAATAGGCTAGGTTATAATAATCTTACAAAACGTATATATAACCGATCTGGTGGAAATGTGGGGATATGCATTGAAATTGAACGCCATTGTAAAATTAGCTACGACCGTCCCCAAGAGCGTACTAAATGTGGTTATATTCGGGTCAACGGACTCGAACCCCAGACTATCGTCTGGCCAGTGTCCACTTTTATTGCCAATCATCTGTTTATTTGCTAATTAACTGTAGCACTGAAAGTGGTACACGCAGGCTTGTAACCAGATGGTATCGAATTGTTTTCCCGGCACCGGTTTGCGCTCCGTTTTTCTCAGGCCTGCACTGTTTTTTTTCCATAGCGTATCGTTGTACATAACCCTTATTGAAGACATCCGTAACCAGATGAGTTTCCTGTGATGGTACAATAGGTAATTATGGAGATATTACTTGTTTATATTAAGACATAGCACGTTCGTTAGTG